GAGCAGGGAAAAGGGAAATCTTGAACGAACGGCAGCGCGAATTCAAATCGGAGCACTCAATCTCATAGGGAAAAAAGTAGAAGCAGAAAATGATCAATACATTCAAAATACCGCAGTCGATAGAAAGGCACCCGATCAGGATATGCAATTGTCGGGAGGCCAGTTCCAAGGTAAATTGCAGACAGCCATTCGGGAACCCAATCGTGTATAGAGAAAGCGATCCCAGACGCAATAAAAAAGAAAATCAGTTTTCTTAAAAAATACCGCAATAAAAATTCTTCACGTTGAAGCAAAAATAATAGCTTTCTGGTGGACCGGAGATCCAAAGTGCTGTGCAAAATAAATTCCCCTCTTTTTTCTTCCTTGCTCCTCTCTCCGTCTTCGCGGTTGAAGAGGAGGAAACACTGAAGAACGGATTTCTCTATCTATGTTCATGAATAAAGCTCATCTGGTCCGACGAAAGAAAAAAAAAAACAACGTCGCCCGAGTGCCTATGTAGTTTCACCTCTCCAGTAGGAACAGAGCAACGATAAAAAGAAGAAGAAAAAAAACCCAACTAATGGAATATGTAAGGAGCAGAGACTCAAAAAAAGAATGCGTTTTAACGGGAGTACCAGCGGAGCAATGTTTCCGAAACGGAGATCTGCGCGAATGTCTGTATATAGTGAACTTTGACACTACTATTGAAACTGACACGTTTCTATGGAGATCGCTGCGCCTTATATGGTGCTCGTGTCAAGGAGCCAAGAGAGGGGCTGCTGGCAACTGATAATCAAAGGCGACTGACTGGTCAGAACCCTGCATCGGGGGGGAGAGAGAAAATGGGAGGCTAAGGTTAGCCAAGCCTCCTTCACTCCATTGGTTAGAGTCCTCGCTCCTCGCTACCTACGACTGAGGGCTCTGACAAGCACAATTTACATTGCGCTCGCCCCTGCGCGGCTATTTACTTTGAAACCCGATTAGAATGGACCGTCTATTGTCACAAAAAGAGGAAGAAACCCCAGAAAGAAGCGGCTAAAAGCGGGATGAAAGCAATAAGCGAACTATACGCGCACGTGAAATATAAACAAATGCATGTGAGGCAGAGAGAACTGGTGCGAGCCTCACAAAGTTGAAAGTATTGTCTTCAAAGCTGTAGTCTTAATTACAAAAATACCCATCGCAACGTCCAGATTTGAACTATGAAGGTCCCATTGACATTTTACGTAATTTGACAGAACAATACTGATTGGAAACTGCGTATCAATGCATAAAGCAGATTTTCACGCGTCACTTAAGCATATCTCAGTAAAACGATCAAATAAATAAATGAAAAAAACGTATTGGGACTCGTGATGACTATAGTTTGACTAGAAAGATATCAGTATAATGGAATGCTTTAGCAGTGATAGGAAACAGATCAAGCCAGCCAGGGCACAAAAGAGGAATCAGACTATTATGATATTCGAAAGTATAAAAATCCATCGTTCAGTGTGTTTTAACAGATTATCAACGATGGAAGTTTTTTGTAGACTATAATGCGCATGGAAACCGGCTTTTTGTGCATGAATGCCGAAGGCTGCGCTGTACAGGCTTATAATGTCTGGATCGGGCTGCCATCTAGCGTACAGTAGACAATTACAGCGACATAAAAATGAGTAATTTATTGTCTTTTTTTTTTGCATGTTCCTAAATGTAGTTCAGAGACAAATTACGCCGTGGGATGAACTTATCAGATTTTAATTTTATTGATGTATTTATGACACTTAGGCTATATGATTATTTCAAAGTCTTACTTTGATCATGAATCTTCATGACCTAGTGGAACTTGATAATCATTAAGCCTGTTTTATTTAGCAATGCCTGTACTTAGAAATAATTAGTTTTACGGAGAAACAAGTTTTGGTCATTGCCAGTTGACATAACTGAGATCTTTAAAAGCAAATTAAGCAGGCAGGCTATTAGTTAATTAAACCTCTTAGTAACTTTTATCATGACAAACTATTTCACCAGAACTCTGCTATATATTAACTCTGCATCAAGTCCAAAACTGTGCGAAAGAAGTTAAGAGGAGGCAAACACCGACATCCGTCCGTTTACGAAACCCTTACAAATAGGTAGCCTATTTTCAACTCGACCGCGGAGCTTCCTCCGTCTCTCCTCACACCGATCCGCAGAAACGCATGCTGCTGTCCTCTGTTCTTTGCAAAGGTGAAACGAATAAGATTAAAAGGAACAAAGAGAAACTTCTTTAAGTGTACCATCAAGGTTTTACTCCACAGACAGGGAAGAGAGCGAGAGGGGAGAGAGGGAGAGGGACAGCGAATGGGAACACAAGGCACGCATGAAAACAGTATTGAAGAAATGGTAAAGTGGACACTTGGACATTCAAAGTGCGAGCGCCCCAGCGACTGGTGGGTATCATACTTTGGGATCGGCGGTTTCTCAGTTTGGTCCATATTTGAAAGGCAAGTACTTTTTATCAATTTATGCAATCCCAGATTTTTTTTGGTGAAATTCATTTAAATATCTCGCAATGTATACGCAAACTTGTATCAAACTAAAACCTCAAATACTCATGAAATTAAGAACGTGAGACTGTCAGGTGAAAGCAATGCGGATACAGACCACGGGAGATCGGTGGACAGAATTCTATCGATCACTTGCACTAGCCTACCTACTCTTAAAAACAAAACAAAAAAACTCTAACGTTGTAGTAACGCTGAACATGACTGAACGTTTGACTTTAAGAAACGCCTTTTCACCTGTGTTATTCGTCTTGTATGATCTCGTAATGGGAAGATCGATAGCAGTCTGTTTGTCTAAGTGATAATGTCAACGGATTAAAAGGACGATTATAAGATAGACATGTTCAGAATAAAGTAGGGCTGACGCGTGTTCATAAAAAATTAAACCATTTTGATAAGAAGCAAAAAAACTAATGAAAGAAGTATAAATGTAGCCTATATATCTGCCTTAAAGGATTGTTTTTTTTTCTCTCATTAAATGAAAAATGAGTTATCAACATACTTAAAGGCAATTATGGCACAATTAAAGACAGAGAGCACATTTCACTATATAAATCTTACATCTTTTTTTGGGGATCATTATATATATATATATATATATATATGTGTGTGTGTGTGTGTGTGTGTGTGTGTGTGTGTGTGTGTGTGTGTGTGTGATCCCATATATATATATATATATATATATATATATATATATATAAATATGTGTGTGTGTGTGTGTGTGTGCCTATTTATATAGAAATATAGCGTTAGGCCGTGTACTCATCAAAAAGCTCTTGTTAGTCATGAGTTTGTAATGCACGTTTTATCGATAGAAAGTAAGTAAAATAAAGTGCAAAACAATGTTCAAGAAGTTAGTTACAATGTTTCAAATGGCAATATAAAGGATAATTATCATTATAAAATAATAAAATAAAATTAGATAATCATAATCATATGACTAAGTTATGTTATCTATTGAAATCAACGATGGTCGAAGAGATGCGTCTTTATGCTGCAATGTTTTGATGTGTGATGATGATGATGACAATATTAATAATAATAATAATGATGATGATAATTAATCGTTTTACAGCACCTCATACAATTTGTAATATAGCGTTATATTTCTTAATGACCGTGCAAACTCGTTCAAAATAGCAATAAACAACATATAGGCTACCGTTTAGTCTAATCTAATGCATGAACCCTAAGAGCTGCTCGAGTAATAAAATCCCACGAATGGCGGACCTCCTACCAAGGGAGCACGAATGTAAATACGCTCGGGTTAGATGCTATAAACTCTAAAGACAGCGCACGGATACAACTTTCCTTATTTTATCAGACACCTATGATGTTACTTTTATCCAAAGTCCCATTGAAAACAGAATAAATTGTATAATTTTTGTTTACTTACATTTACAGTTTTTACAGTAAACATCTGAACTTAAAACACACTAAAGAGTTAGGTTTGTAGTTTTTACCTCTCCGTATACAGATCAAATAAAGCTTCCCTTGAAACTGAATTGCTTGTGTATCACAATGACTGAATCATTTGTACTAAAGACATATCTGAATCGTCTGTTGCTTGATACCAGGCCTGTCATGAGCAGTTTTATAATGTCAGTAATCATTACATACAAAAGTATAATATGTAGGTTTAAATATATAGGCATATATAGCCTACTAGAAAAAAAATGCATGACAGAAATATAAACTTGAACAAATACAGATAAAAAAAAAATTAATCAACAAAGCAATTTATCAAAACTTTCATCAAAGTAGAGGATCTCTGCATTGCAAGTTACACAACGCGTTTCAGTTAAAATTGCGGATAATTTAAATGTGATAACCATTATGGGAAGCATTTGCTTATGGTATAGTTTTAAAGTTATCTACGTTGTGAGTGTTGCATTGAAGAAAACGTGTGTTAAGAGAGACATTTTGTTCTAGTTGGTTATATTTTGCTCTCTGTAATCTCAGTTTTTAAACACGTTGCGCGCCTCTCTAATGCGATGGTGGGTTTTTGTCACTTTGAGTAGTAGTGAGTTGAAAGGGAAGAGGAGGGGGCTTTTGTTCAATTTGATCCCTAACTATTTGGGGGCTCAGATTGGTGTGAAAGGGACGAGAAGGTCACTTGAAATCGCCTTTTATCCACTGCCATTTTCTCTATGGATCAGCAACTTTCAATGGACATCATCTAATCGCTCTTAATGGAAAGGGTAGTGGGGAGAGTTGTGGAAAATATCTTAAACTACGCCACTTAATATTACTGCATGGGCTATTTAAAAGACGTACTCATTAATGTTTCGCACAAAATCACTTCAGCATTCCCCCCACCCGTTTGTGTTTCATGCTTGAAGATTTAGCTGAATATTGCCTATAAAGGCGTCATAAACAGCATGGCAGTCACTTTACATCTTGGGTCAGCTGACCAACTAAAGCTATGTAGATAAAAAAAAAAAAATCAGATTATATATATATATATATATATATATATATAGGCCTACTTTAACATCTCTTTATTTACAACGCACATAAACAGGCGAATCATCTTACTGCCAGTGTGGGGCTCTGTTGATAGCCTATAGGATGATTACGGTGGCCGTCACGGGGGATGAAGAAAAACAGGTAGGAAAATAGGCCTATTATTTTTTACAGCTTATAGATTTTTAAGTGGCCCACAAAACTAAATGCATTGTCAAATTCCGAATTAATTATAAAATCGAGTTGACTGTAATTGTCCACAATGGGGGAATTTTTTTCTTTCTAAGCTTGTGGTAGGAGTTTAGTTAGAGAGACTGTCAGTTTATGCTGGAGGTAATGGCTTTATTGCTCACAAACCATCATCTATTTAGAGCTTATGTACTAATTGCCTTGGATGGCCTCATAGACCAAGATCATAAATCCGTTAGCAGTTAAAACGAGCCAAGACCCATAATTAGGCTAACTTGCGCTTCTGACATTCCCTCAAAAGGCATGCAAACCACAACAATGATACTAAAGTACACGTATCGTATGTTGTCAGCAAATCCTTAAGGAGCTCCATCTCATACATTAGACATGGGAAGAAACTTAACAGCACAGACAGAATTCATAAAAGTCTTAAAATAATTAATTAAAAATAAATATTTGTAATGATAGTAAACCTGTAGGCGTCGACTTGTCTAGGTGTTAGGCTACTTAAATTAGTTTTTAGCAAACACAATATAAGGGCTGGATTTCCCGAAGCAAAAGCAGAAGGAAGCAGAGGTAAAACGTCAGGTGCACGTAAGTAGGCTACTTTAATCTCTCGGGCATGTTTTCTCAAAAGCATCGCTACATAAATAGAACTTAAGCGTTTTAAAGAAAGTCTCAATAACAACCACTCAGCTTCTTTACGTGAATTTAAAATGATCTTTTTTATTATATATTTTTAAACTTTTATCTTGTTTTTAGGTCGTCAGAGCCAATGGGACATTTAATAAACAATATTACAACTTTTGATAATTTTCAAATTCATTGTAGCTATAGGCTACCATACACCCTGGAAAAAAGTGTGTAAAAATCGCATTGAAAGCGGCACTTAACTGTGTGCGCATGTCACGTGATAGGTCTGGATTTAGGCTACTTGCAGACTACACGGTATAACTTTATGCAGGGATTATGTTTTATGCAGAATATTGATGTCAGAAGACAACATGTGCTCCTAAAATATTTTTAATAAACAAAATAAATGAATAAATATTTTATTATTTTCATTAACATCTACAGTATGAAGTTAGCATCGATATTAAAATATTATCTTACCAAAGCCATAATCCTTTATTTGACTAAATTCTGTAATTATTAATAACTTCAACACCTGCACAAGATGACGCGCAATTTCCACTTTAGGCAGTTTCACACTCTTCGTTTTGGAGAGGCCAACTCTTCGACATATTGGAGAAAGTCAATGCCTTACTTAAGCACGTTTGCACCTGACTGCTCCTGTAAACGTTGCACTAAAGTTCTGAGGTGTATATGTGCTTGCAGCTTGTTTGTCTGTAAAAGTAGGCTACGGACGTTAGTTAGGCTACTAACGATAAGAGCGTATACCGGCCTGCAACCAGCCCAGTCGTGTATTGCGTTGTGGTATATGATTGAAAATAGTCGTATAGGCCTAGCCTATACTGTAACATAAAAAGCAAGCCATTTTTCTAAAATAGGCCTATATAAATCCAGATCTATTATCCTATTTAACGTTGTTAGTGCAAGGTGTTTTAGGAAACAAGGGGTTAAGTTAGTTAGGAATTCAACACAAAAAGTATCCTACACCCCAATGTAATTTATAACCATAGAGATTGCCGAGAAACCAGATGTCCACCCTACTTTTATCTGCTTAAACCTTTTGTCATCGGATTTTGTTATGGTTTCACAATGAATGTCCGAACAAGAGCAAATCCTAAATAAGCACACGAGCGGAAGTCTTCTTAGCAGAGAAGAGCAACGATAAGCGACTGTATTTGAGGGGGAGAGCTTTTGTTGTGTGAGGTAGAGTCACCTCGCATATTTATAATGGTCTGTTTAAACCGACCCGCAGAGGGAATTTAATTGGAATTTCGTCTGTCTTAGGCACATCCACGCTGGAAGACAGACGAGATTAATTGCTTTAAAAAGGGTGATAATGTACACGTGCAGGACGACTACAGATAAAGACACCTAATGTCTGACTTTTCAAATATAATTTTCAGTTTCACTCAAACTAAATGCTTTGCCGTTGTCTAATGGTAAATATGATTAAGATTGGCTAGAAATATTAGGCTATATGCCCCCCCCCCCCCCCCCCCACACACACACACACCTCAGGCATTTTGAGTTGTCAGAGGTTCAGTGATAGAAGGAGATGTGAGAAAAGATCATAAGCAATAGCTCAAACATGCAGGTTTACTAAATTAGATTAACATTAACCCTTAAAAAAATCTTGTCAAAAAATAAAATTTGCTTTATCAATAATTTCTTGGATTGAGTACATCTCCAAATGTCCCCAAGCTATAAGTTAACATTCTCTAAAGTAAACTTTAAAATACGAAAAAGTAATCTCCCTTATACCGTCAAACATGCAGCTTGAAGTATCAACATGTAGCTATATTTTACAGTATCAGTTAGAAATAAAGAAAACAGCCGACCTGCTTCTCCTTATAGTGAAAGCAACAGTTCTATGGAGCAATGTTGACTCATAAGGTAAAATAAATTGGGTTTGTGAGTAATTTTCACTTTGCTGAGTAGTTAGTCACATTAGGGTTTTAAGGCAAATACTAGCAGGTTGTTTGAGGCTATCTAGAGCTAAAAACGGGCAGCTAAATTGATGACTCACTGGGTTCAGAAATCTTTCCCCCCATCAGTGTCCAGAACAGCTGTGTATAGTCAGGAGACTTTCTGAGTGAATTATGTGTCTTTATTTAAGAGCAAAGTTGCTTAAATAGCTAATAAACGATGGCACCTGATGACTTCCTGCGAGAAAACAGAACTAAGAGAGAGAAAAAAATGATGATCAAAATCAGAAAGAGCTTCTGTCTTTGAATATGCACCGACACATAAAAGGTATGTTCTTGTTTACAGGAGCTTAGAGCACTTACATATTATACAAGGTACATTACAAGAAAAATAAAATCTAAACGTATTATACAAGGTACATTACAAGAAAAATCAAATCTAAACAGAGTAAACAGAACACGTGTGTATAGGTGTGTGCACAAACTAGCTATTGTAACATTATGGTTCTTTTCCAAGTTATGGTATGGTAACACTTTTATTATGCTAACACTAAAATAAGGTTTCATTTGTTACCATTAGTTAATGTATTAACTAACATGAACTAACAACGAGCAATACATTTGTTTTATTTATCTTTGTTAATGTTAGTTAATAAAAATACAGTTGTTTATTGTTTGTTCATGTTAGTTCACAGTGCATTGACTAATGGTAACAAATACAACTTTTGGTTTTAATAATGCATTAGCAAATGTTGAAATTAAGATGAACTAAGATTAATAAATGCTGTAGAAGTATTGTTCGTTTGTAACTGAAGTAGTTAACTAATGCTAACTAATGAAACCTTATTGTAAAGTGTTACCATTATTATTAACTATTTTTGACTCATAGTACTGTCAGTGTATCATTATCATGTGCACCATTTCATTATTATTTTAATGTACATTATTTATAGGTTTCTGCCAATCTGCCAATTTGTTTGTATAGTTTGAGGAACAGAACCCATCTAAGTATGATCTTACTTCCTGTCTGCCAAGAGCAACTTTAGTTCCCTACAAAGCCAAACCAAGTAGATATCATTTTTGTCACCAATGTCCAATATTGTCTCTTACACAATGATCGATCATGTGACAGATAGGTTTCTGCTCAGATTCATAGAAAACAAAGTGTGACAAACAAATATATCAACCAATAATAGCTTCCTTATCACATCATTTGCATAATATAATGAAACAACAGAACAGAAGTCACTTACATTTTCTCCCTTCAGTCATCAGACACTATAGATTTGCTGAAGATGTATTTTGTTTTGTCAGAATTCATAATATCCATAATCCTCCAACTAATTGTATAGGGCGTGGTGTAGTGTATCTATGTAAACAATGCATATCATACTGGTAATCTGTTTAGTCTCACTCCTAGTAGCCCTCAGTCATATGTTCAACAATGTCAAGCATCCTCAGTCACAGTTTTCAGCTCAGGCCTATGGATTTAAACAACGAAACCTGAATCAGGAATCAGAGCAACACTCATGATTTACCTACATGTCTTTCCTGTCACTAAGCAAAAAGTTCCCTCATCGTTTCTATCATATTGTTTTTGATCAATTAACTGACTAAATATTAGGTTTTGAACACTGCTACTGTCATGTCCACTTTCAATTCACATTTATTTGAATAGCGCTTTTCACAATAGTTTCAAAGCAGCTTTTAAAAAAAGTGTGCGTCTACATTACAATTTAGAGTGATCTATCAGAGGTGACTGTGTCCAAGTAGTGTATTTTTTAGAAATGTACATATACATTTAATACATTAATACATGATGTTAGATAGCTAACACAGCATGTATTAATTTAAGGCAGAAACAATTAGCTCATTACAAGTTGTGAACGTAATGATTACAATATATAGAAAATTAGCATTGGTGCATGTTGATTCAGTGTCAAAGGCATTCAAATAGGCAGTTTGGTCACCAAAAACAACTCGTCCCTGTATTTTCCTTTGCCTCGGTTTGTCACTCTTTTTGTCCCTCTTCATCAGAATATGTCAATAAGCTAGCAATAGATAGTTGCAGATGTCAATGAAGAATATACTCCTCTATACATTTCCTAGAAATCGCTACATGAAGGCAATAGACATTAGACATAACCTTAGAATCTGACTGTGTCTCTCTCTCTGCTTCTCTTTTAAGAAAGTGCTCAGTGAACTTTCAGCTAAACGGGACAGTTGCACACTCTCAATAAGCATTGTCTTTTTTTTCTGTTTTTCTTTTTCAGATTCTCAAAGACGGGCAGCTATGAGATATCTGCATGCTTTAGGTGGAAAAACACATGATCAGGGTTGGAATATACTTGAACATACACACACTTACACAATAGAATGTAAAAACAGCACCTGCATCTCTGTTTACACGTATTACTCTTGCAGTGTCCTTCTATCAGTTCTATCTGTCAGCAAAGGAAAAGAATGCAGCCATGATGCCATGAACACACATTCCTCAAAGCAATCTCTTTACCTCATAAAACATCATCTTTGGATAAATATAGTCAGGTTACCAGAGCTCTTATTTAAAAATCTGTGAAAAAAAGCATGTTTTTGAAAGTGAAAGAGGACCGATTACAGACAGCTGTGGCACTCCAAATGTGCCTCTCCACCCCATGGTTAGGACAGCAGTTAGTGAGGGACTTCCTGCATGGAAAGCTGTGTATGTTTTCCTTCAGTGAATTGAACATCCTGCAGATCTTAAATTCCAGTCAGCAATAAACTCCCTGACCTCTGAGCACAAAATTAGGCGCATCATATAAGCAAGAGACACAAGCGAAAGGAGGGACTGCAAAACAAAACCGAAAGATAGAGATAAACGAAAATGACAAAGAAAGAATGAGAGAATGCAAACTCACACATTTCTGTGCGAGTTTTCTTAATTATTCATTGTATGAAAAGGATTACGAAAAAGGAAACTAGTTTACATGATTAATTATTAGCAGTTACATTTTCAATAGCAGGATTTTTTTTGTAAGTTAGTCACAGTTTCAATTTTTGAAAAATATAAACAACTAAAAATATAAATTTCTGTCTCCCTTACCTGACCTATTTTTTAGATGTAACCATAATGTCATCAGTTTAATCTAGTCAAATGAATATATTTTTGTTACCAATTGATTTATGTTACCAAATGAAACAAATTTGTTAGGTTACATGATGACAAACTTATTTATTTGGCTGTATAGCTAATTAGAGGAACACTTGGGACAATGAACAAAGGAATCCATATACATAGATCTAGTCATCGTATTGTAATGCTCATAAACTTCCAGACTCTTTTTACATATATGTGAGATGATCCATTCATTAATTATGACACCTGCATGCAATATTAGGGATCATCTCATACTGTATTAATTATTTCATCCAATGTCTGAAAACACAATGATGTTTTTTGCCATGAAAGTGTCAGATTTTATTTTTTCTTACAAGGACAGGGTTGTCAGTTGCAACATATGCGGTGAACCCTATCTGCCAATATGTTTATTGAGGTATTATCAATTGACTGATGAAACAAACTACAAACAAGTCAACATATGTTCCTAATTTGCTGGATTTATTTGATTTTAAACCACATGTTTTCTGCTTTAAATGATTATGAATGTTTGCAACAGAGCATTCTCTGCAGATCACAAACAATATGTTTTTACATGGAAACATGGAAATAATATGTAACTTCTGCCGCCTCATGCCACAATCACAAAATATATTGATTGGCTATATATTCAGTGTTTTTGACCTCCTTCCTCTTGTCCTGAAATATCCCCATATTGCTAGTCATCTATAAGAAAAAGCTTAAAGGTAAGTGGAATTCCATCATTACCTTGAAGAGCTGGTTCTGCCTTATTTATGTGCACCACTCCCTGGGGTTTACATGTGTAGCAGCACCAAAAGTGCAAAACAACTAATAAAGTATGCCATACTATATTGTAAATATTACATTTAGAGCAGTAATCCTCTATGTATTTATTTAATGTGCAGAATATATATGATCTCTGACCAGTGTTGAAGTTTGACATATCTGAATGCCTCCAAATAAATTATTTTGCATATGTGCATATTAACACCTTTTCTTCTGTTTCTCATTTCCTGTGTTTCTCTTTGTCTGAAATCACATGCTTTATCTGGAGTATTATTGTGTACAGCTCTCAAAGGACAGAGATGTTTCCCAGAGCAGATCACATGACCCTATCATGTGCTATCATTGACGTTGTTCTCTTATTGGTCGGTTACTCCACAATGCCACATTTGCACATACTGTATCATAGTATTTTTGTTTTTAAATATATTTTTGTGTTAATTTAGAGATTGGGTGCTGGAAGATGAGATTATATATAATGTTAATCTTTAAATGTGGTTATAATGGTGTTTCCCCCCCTATCGTTTTCCTTATTTTGTTGATGATGACACTTGCTCTGCTTCAGGAAGCAGGTCTCCAAGGAAATGCACTGCTGCATCACAGTGCCTGATCACTGGAACAATGTGAGTGAATGTTTAGCTTTCTGAACAAAGCGACACCACATGATGTGGTGGGTGGAAAAGAAATCTCAATGCCCCTCTGTCGTATTCTTTCTCTACTTTTTGGCTCTCCTTCATCTACCATGTCTGTCAGTGCCTTCTTTACTGGCGTTTAGGTGGTGTCGCCGACAATCAAGACAGTAAACACCACAGACAGTCGACTATGACGCGACCTTGGAACATGTTCCGTGCAATGACCATTATAAAATGCTACGTCTTTCATCTCTTTCCCTTTAGACATTGGGCTGCGGGATTGCAGCTGTGTGGCGGGTGCCACCAGACTGTTCATGTCTTGCCTTGTGTGTATGTGTGTGCGAGCGAGCGAGCGATCCCTTGGGGCTCTCTCCCTCAGCCCTGGCTCCCTGATTCGGTGTGTAAAAGCACCCCTGAATGATGGATTACTGTGTCAGTGCGGCCTGCGAAGGATTAATTTGTTTCATTGATTTCTCTTTAGGCAGAATGCCAGCGTTTGCTGCTTCCCACCTCCTTCCCGGAGACTCCCGGCCATAATAGACGGTAATGGCCTAAGACAAATCAACCCGTTTCTTGTAAAAATAGCAGCAAATAACCCCTGACTTTGCCTCACGAGCGTAAACCAGAGAGAAGCTCGATTCTGACAGCCGCATTCACAGCGGGCATTAACCCCAGGAGAAAGCTCGCGCTCCACTTGAACAAAGCCATAAGTCTTGAATACTTACGTCCCCCACTCACAGCTCAGAATGGATTGGTAATGACCGACTGTCTGGCTGTGCAGGTTATGTGCGCTTTGCCTCGGCCAATCACAGGAACGAGTGACCTCCGAGATGTTTACAACACCATCCTACCAAGCAACAGTTTCTGTGCATTAGTGGAACATATGGGTATCATATTTAAGCACCACAGTGAGAACCCTAACAAATGTAGCCTATAAACACTCACCCCTGACTGTGTTTGCTAGCACTGGGGCTGTCGTTGTGATGTTGCACGGCTGGGCAGAAGATGAGAGAGTGTGTGGAGCTCTGGCCAGGACTCTCTGTGTGGACTCTAAAGGGCCCAGAACACATAACATGCACAAACACACACAAACAAAATCAATCTGATGTGCATCCTCAGTAAAGTGGTGGTTCCAAATCTTTAGTTTAGAAACGTTCTGAGTGCAATACTTCTAATTTCCAGTAGGGAATTATACACCTTGAAATGGTCACTTCAGGTTTGGGTCACATGAGCTTAAGTGCTGTAATTCACCTCATAAAAACAAGTAACCGATATTACATCACCCCACCTAAAATGGCCTGTGTTTGAATATTTTCAAGTGAAAATGCATTGCTTTGTTACATTTATATGTATGCATTTGGCAGACATTGCCTTCAAGGTACACATTAACATTTTTATCAGTTCTTGCTTTCCCAAACCCATGACCTTAGCATTGCGGGCTACAGAAAAAGCCTGTAATATTACACACTAGTTTCTCGAGTTAAAGACTCTCTCTCGCTCGCTCTCTCTCTCTTTCTTCTTTATACCATGGTAAGGACATTTAAGAACAAAGTAAAGATATTTCAACATTATATTTGCAGTCCAGTAATTTATGCTTACAAGACAATAAAGTCTTACTTTTAAAATAAAATTACGGTGGTTCTTCTCCCATCAAGTCTTGAATGACCAGTTCAACACCTTGCATGCATACACAATTTGAACGTGTCTAAATGAAAAAGAGAAAAAAAACCCCTGAAATTACATTTCAGTTATACCAGGGTTGATTTCATAAAAGTTTGATATGAATACACGCATCCAATACCATTTGCCATTTTTTAAAAGATGTACTCATTCGGGTTTGAGGTCTCCATCTCTGTTTGTTTGAGCAGAATTACTTACTGTCCTTCCACTGAAGGCACTGCAGTGTAAACACTCAGCAGACCCCCCCCCCCCCCCCCCCACACAGACCAAATCAATCCTAATGCCCTTTCAGCTCTGTCTAGAAACAAAGTCCTTCAACACTGATGCTGTGGGTGAAATAAGGTAATCTCAGCTATGATACTAACTCATTGCTAGCCTCTTCCCAGGCTCCTTGCTGTCAAGAGCTGTGTTCCTCTTGAAAAAACAACAGTTCTCAGGGGTCCTTACATCCTTAAGTGGCTCCAGAAAAGGTTAGTTGTCAGGTAATTGTCCAGCTGCGGTTGGGCTTATCTTAATCACAGTGCTTCAGCATAAGCCTGGGTCTGTGTTATGAAGAGGCTAACGGTGCTAAAGGGGAGGGTGGCTAGCTGAGGGATTTCGTTGTTCTTTTTCTCTTTTTTTGCCTGCCTGGTGTGCTGAGATAGCCAGACCAAAGTATAGAAAGTTAGCGTCAAGCTACTACACATAATGTGGACAGTGTCGGAGTACTGTAATACACACAACAATATTTCATACAGAAGAAAAACAAAAAGAACAAATGGAATGGGAACGCAGTGACACCTTTAAGCCGTCTAGAACCAAACAAGCAAGTCAAGGCACAATCCTTTTGTCATGGTTTGTTATGTATATCTGTAAAGTGCAGAAACTTGAGGGTTTGTGAAGCCTTTGATGTTGCCAGTGAGTCACTGTTTAAGGGGAATGGTTGGAGGAAAACTGCATTCAGGATCCATAATACTATACAGGCTCTTTTGGTAACATTGAACAAAATAACAACAACTAAGACGGCCTCTTACAAGGGTCAGCGAATGCAACCAAACATCTATTAACTCAGTACTTCGAAGCCAAATTAAAATATACCAAAAGAGCACAGATCTCTGATCATAGAAACGTTAAAACTGTAAACAGGGTTCATTCAACCGTTGCAGCCATTTATTCTGATGTAGTAGTTTGCAGTGGTGACACATAGTCTGCTGTCATTTTGCTCCACCGACGTCAAAGGTCGAACACAAACTATAAAATATTTGTCGGGGGTCCATCAATAATGCTGACATGCCGACCCATACAGTACAAAGCTAGAGGCAGAATGAAGTGTCTCGACAAAAGCATCTGGTGCACATGTTGACCCAGAGGCCAAAAGGTTAGCAGCCAGACTCCTCTACCCATCCCCACTATGCTTTCATATGTTCATTTGATGGTCGCTGTGGCAATTATAAAGGTATACTTCAGCCAGGTCTAATGGACTAGGGGCAAAGAGCAAAGCCTTTACAGTGGGGACCCAAGTCAAAGGTTAGCATGGCCATAAGACTAATTATGGAGCATTCGATGAAATGGAAAGACGCGGGAAGCGCATATCCTCAACTGCTCATCTTTATGCATATCTTACCTATGAACATGTCTTATGGAAAACACATTAATGATTTTAGTTGTCGTGCAGTAGATGCTGTTTTTGTTGCCTAGATTGCCACCGGCTTTTAATAACTATTAAATATGAATGGTCAAGGTCATGAGGGTCACAGTCTGCATTTAGAGTGTATGACCAGTGCCACATGTAAAGGTTAAAATGGAATTGCTTGTGCCAAGTTTATGAAGAGCCCCATTTATGCAGGCCAGCAGGGGTGATTTATGACCGGAGATAAGAGGAAGGATGGGTGGAAAACTCTTTCTTTTTCAAATGCAATCAGCTTCTGTAAATACGCAGCTTACTTATATCCATCACGCTGTCACAGGGAATCGCCGTTCCTTTGCTTAGATGAAATAACAGCTTTTGTCTGGGTACCGACAACTGTGCTTTTGAAGAACAGTTGTTTTATCATTTTGTGTGTGTATGAAGCTCACTTTCCAGGTTCCCTGATATTAGCCCATGCAATTACATCATTCTAAGCATACCATATCACAACATATTTAAAAGTAATCACTAATTTAATTATCTGTGTAATCCATTGTAACAGCAGTCCTATGTAAGCAGACGGCATAGTTAAAAGGGAGGATAGTCTCCTAAAGGAGGCTCTGTTCATTCAATTGGTCATATAAAAGGAAAACTGTATTTTTCTTGGCATCTGATTCAGAAGCGACTGCATGTCTCATCATTTCTACCTGCCCCCATAACTAGGTAAAGTTATTGCATACTTGGTCTGGTTTAATTAGATTTAAAACAATTAATCTTGATCGAAACAACCTGCATTTTTGGCATTCCATAATGTGTCCAAAAGGTAAATTTGATCTGCTATCAGAACAGCCACATATTCACAGCTAAAACTGCGATGTTTTGTCACTGAATACCACGGCCAAGAACATTTGTGGGTCTTTGGCCCTTAAATCTGAAAACCACTCAGTGGTATGATCTTTGTGAAACTGCACCCCAGTGGCTCAGGGTCTGGCTGAAATGGAAAAAAAGAACGAGAGATGTGCTTTGAACTCTTTGCCAAAACGGAAACACGGTCTAGTGCTGCTCATTTTAACGAGTCGTAAGAACTATTTTTGTTCCCTCATATAGCAATAAATTTGATCTTTCCTTTTTATGTAAGCTTAATGTTTTTCTAGGTGTGGATCAAAGGGCGATAATTCAGAAAACCATATGCATCAATAGATTTTAGCTCATGCCTCTCAATGTCACACACAAATCTTGTTTCATTTTTACTATATGTTGCACTTGGACTTCAGCAACCAACTGCAGCGGTGAAAGAATGAAAATATATGGAGCACCGTGGGAAAAGTCAAACACAAAAGTTAATACAACAAACCAAAATATTGGTTTGATGACTGACATTTGAAATAGGGCATAGGATGGATGTAATTTAAGCCTAAGTACACTCTTCCCTCTTTTCACACACCCCTCTGGGTGACAGTTATTAATGCCATTTCCTCTTGTCATATTATGTCATACGGGACATTTAAAGAACGTCATCTTCTGTAAGGGCCCTGCATTCTGCCTGTAGTCAGAGTACAAATTATCATCAGACCAGATCGAGTTATCATCACTGTCCTCCTATGTGTTATAAAGTGCTGTTCATCTCTATTCTCTATTCTAGTTCTTTGAAACGTCTTCTTTTTTTGCCTGCAACATTTCATATCAGAATATGGTTTAAAAAAAAGGCTAAATGATTTATGATTTGTGTGGATTTTGTGTATGAGCATGTGTGATGTATTGTCTCTTATTGGGACACAGATCAACCACTCCTGGCTGTTTGTGTGTTCAGGGAGCAGAGCTTTGCATTAAAATATGATTTTATCAATAGTGTGATCAATAGTGTCAGCCTGCCATTGTGTAATTATTCTGGCCTCCTGTATCAATAAAGCTGCAATAAAGCTGTCATGCTTGATCTCTTGCTCGTGAACATGCTGTAAACAGTCAAAAAACAGGGGGGACAAACAGCACTTTTAGCTTAATATCACATCCTTATCTTTATCAATACAGATTCCTAACATCATTCAAGTATGGCCATAAATGCCCAGGCAATAAACCTGCACATTAGATTTTGTCTAATGGAAGATAGCATCAAGATATTCAACATTTCAATGGCATCAAAAGTAATCAATGATAAGAAACCACGCTACATCTTAAGCTATATCATATCACACGAGTAATGTTCAGAAAAAGCACCATAATTGCGAGTCTGATATTGTTTTATACGAAATTTTAATAAACAAGAATCGATATTGAGTTACTTACATTTCGGACACAGTATTGGCAGTTAGTTCGTTTGTGTTGCTCTGTCAAAGAAAATAGTTTAAAGAGTTGAAGTGTCGCGGTCGGGTCTCTCCTAGCAACACAAGCTTCTAGCAATGAATCAGTAATTTCGAAAGAATCGGTTGAGTGAACAAAGACTCGAAGACTCGTCCCTCATTTCCTCCCCGAATGAATCAATCATTTTGAACGAATCGTTGACTGATTGATTCACTAAAATATACAGTCACCTGTCGCCTCCTATTGGTGTAAAGACGTAAACATGTAGAAAGAATCACTGAACAATCAACACGACTATTTCAATCGTTTCTTGTTTTTTAGCCTTTAGCGCCATGGGACTTAGCAGTGCTTGCACGACGCGAGTTGAAGTCCCGTCTCGAGGTCAGTTTCTGTTTCATATTTGTCCTTTCAAAATAAAGGAATAGCCTAAAGATGCTGTGCTGTTGTGCATCAGCACTTTTGGAGTAGCGTACTGCTTAGCCAATCAAATTGGAGGACTGAAAATAATTATTTAATAATAATGTTGCACATTAAATTAACCATGTTTTTTTTATTGATTTCCAATTTTGTTACCACAGTTTTACTACAAATACCATGGGGTTAACCTGGTTAGTGTAGCAAAACCATGGTTAATTTGTGGTTACCATGGTTTAACTATAATAACCATGTTTTTTGTTTTGTTTTATTTAGTTATTTATTTTTGGTGTAGTAAAACCATGGTTAAGGGTTCATAAGGGTTCTTCGAATTGATGGATGGATGCATGGATGGATAAGTTTATGGTTTGCACAATGATGTCACTACAGTCTTTCTACAAAATTCACTCTCAAACAAATACAACTACCATAACACATTGCAGTGGCAGGAGCGTCAGAGCCAATGAGGCAGTATATTTCAGTGGATTGTGTTTCACAGTCTAGCTCTCCTGGGAAAAAGTGGCCTCAGCCAATAACACTTAAGACCCCGGTACAGAAAAACGCAAGATCTTTTATTGCCACTCATCATTCATGTAATATCTGGCAGCATTTGTGATTACAGAACAAGTGATTGACTAACTAGACACTCGGGTAGTGAGTTACGACCAGGCTTACCTTCTAGTTCGATGTGGGACATCTGCGTCGACAATAACTCTTCCTTCCCACTTCAACAGTAAATCACAGAAAACGCCAAAGACGGAACAGTTAAATAATAACCTCAGATTTATTGTAAATCTGTCACAAAATTAGCATTATGGTGAGGCCACTTCACGATGGAGAGAAAGAGGATGGAGAGGTGATCGATAGGAAAGTAGATGAGAGTATTGATATAGTGCAAGAGAGAGAGAATCCGAGAGCACAGGTAGGTTGATCGACCACTTGCACTGGAATCAATAAACTCCGATGGAGTGGAGAGAGTCAGAACTTCCATCCATGGGTGACTAGAACTTTATCAGGAATAATATGTGACTTCACGTAAGGTGTCAACGTCTCCACAAGAGAGAACTTACAACAACAAAAAGGTTTGATAAGGTTTTGGCTTTAGATTTTTTGCACTGATCAGACACTTTTAGCTAAAGTATAACATCAAACTAACATTACTTCATGCTCTGCCAGTTGAGCTACTGAAGTTAACATATGAAAACACAGTATCACATTAGCATTCACTGATTACCACTCACAGAATATCATAATTCTGTCATCATTAGCCTACTATCATTTATGTACAGTATGCATGTGGCAGACACCAAAGCAACTTACAGTGCATTCACATGTATTGGTAGGCTATATTTTGACAGTGTGTGCATTTGAATGGTAATTGAAACCATAAAGATGGCTGTTCAGAAGAGATTTAGCTCCTATTTAATAGTCATAGTGATCTAAATGTGTCTGATTCAAACCACTTACAAGCGAGTTTGAGGCTGTTCCATGAAGGTTTTTGATTGACTTCATACACTGTAAAAAAAACAAAAAACAAAACAAAAAAAAACCTTGCTGCCTTAATTTTTTTAAGTTCAATCAACTTAGATGTTTAAGATATTTCAACTTAAATTAAATCAAACTGACTTGAATCTTGTAGAACTTATTAAAAAAGTTGAAAATTGTCTTAAAGCAATGTAAAAACATATGTTGTCAACTTATTGATCATATATTTTTTTACAGTGTAAAAGCTTTGTTTGTGAATTTAACAAATGATTGTGGAAAATAAACAAAACACCAAACGTTAAGGGAGCATTCCATTTAATAATTTTGCAAACATCATAGGAATCTTTCAGAATGTACAGAGAACATTCAAAAGTAACAAGTATAAAATAAAAAAAATAAAAAAATAGATAAACATTTCAAGAAAAAAATACTTTCCATGAATAAAGTATAAATAATGTTTTTGTGCTAATGTTTTGAGAACATTATTAAAAACCAGATAACTTTGAAAGAACGTTCTGTTAACATTACTGGAAGAAGCTTTGTTCACAAATTTAAGAAAACCTTGCCAGAACATTTCCTGTTAGCTGGGATGCCCACCAACTTGATACTAGTGTTGTGGGTGGATAAAACCGTATACATCAAACCAAAATAAAACATTAAAAGACATCAAGGAGCTGTTTTTATATCTGTATTGTTGTGCAAATCCATTCACAGTAGTCTATATGACAAATCCATTTTTCACACATATTTATTAAAGCACAGACCCTGGAGTGATTTTCCAAACTTGGAAATGTCTCACCACGAAACATCCCAGAGCTGCAGCTGTGCACATCCACTGCAAACATTTGGAAGTTTCTGTTCCATGGTAGAAAACAAAGGAGGTGGTCAGAAGCTCTTGTAGCAGCAAGTAAAATACTGCAAGTTCTTAAAAATGTGTTTTTAACTTGTATGGACCTTTTAAGATCCCTTCATTCAAAGCTGTGGATTACCCCCGGTTATGTGGTGGTCCTGGCAGAGCAGTTCACTGGGGGTGGTTTTTAGACGTCTGCAAGACAGAATTGGACCAGCTGACGTGGACACATCTCTTTAGTCTGAGCCAGAGGAATACACTGCCAGTTTCACGTAGCTCTAGGCAAGTTTCCTTGAGAGTCTTGGAAACTGAGCCAAGATGGAGGTTGTTGTGGACAGTTTGAGAGGATTTGCTGTGTATAGGCTGGGACAGAGGGCTTTTATGACTCAGGGATACTTCGACTGTAATGAGAAATACAGCAGCATAACCATTAGTATCTCCCAACAGACAGACACAACAATGCATAACATGTGCTTTCCCTCTTCTATTGCTCACCTGTCCATTTCCATCTCCCGTCTCCTCCCGAAGGCACAGAAGAGCGTCTACCCCTATACATCTGTGTATCGTATACACACAGGAGACACGTCGTTCGAGTCTGGGTCTACATTCTGCAGCCAGTGTAGACAGTTGCCTGACTGCTCGCTTCTTCCCTCGGTTCCCCCTGGGATCTCCTCTCCTGCCATGCCTCTCTCGGAAGGTGATTGATGAGAAGCCATTTCCGTACTTCTCCCTCTCAGACAGCACCAGGCTCTTCTCCACTGATGTACCATGTGAAGACTCCTCTCGGAGGGATGGGTTTCTCTTTAAGTCATCAAATGAAGCATCCATGCGCTGGAGGTTGTGCCGGGCCGGCTGCAGACACTGCAGTGGACCAGACCAAAGCCGGTGATGGTGGTGTGGGTGAGTGAACACTGGTCTAGATAACCAGTGTGAGGATGGGAAAAGAGAAAAGGAAAGGAAAAGCTGTGTGCTATAAGCATTAGGCTGTCTCCAGTGCTCCACAAGACAAGGTTTGTCTAGTGTGGATGCATTGTGGTCACGCAGAATGAGAGACAGGTATGTAGGCAATGACTCAGGGAAACCCATTGGAAAGAAAAAAAATGTACAAATGAAATCTCTTTAATGTCTAATTTTTCCTCAGCAATGAGTTATAGCCTACTGCTTGTCAGATGTTGCTCATGAGAAAGACCCCAGTAATTTCACATGTGTCTTCTCTAGTCTCGAAGAGATCTGAAAAAAAATGCATCAAAATGTATTCAGATATCAGTCTGCAAGCCTGCACTCAAACATTTCTCAACAAACTACTCCAAAAGTGAATTATCTGAGCCTCCTTTATCTTATGAACATTACAGCTCTCTACTCTTAAAGTATGTCAATAACTGTCTCATTTGTTTTTCATGTATATTTAGGAGAAACATCTGAGATGAAGTTGACACTTAAAGAGATATTCATGCAAAAATAATTATTCTAGTCACTCCCATGCTGTTCTAAGCTGTATAACTTTCCTTCTCCTGCAGAACACAAAAAATAACTTGTTTACAGTTTTTAAAATTGCTTGCACACTAAAAGTGGTTCTTCAGGCATAATATTTGAAACCATTATGTACTCAATCTTCAGACCCAGTCTGCAAGACAGCAAGCACATCATCTGCTTCACTCTCAGTTTGAAATTGTAAAACCAACTTTTTGCAAAACACCAAACACAGTTACATTTCTGAATACGGTAAATATACCAAGTATATATACTTAGAAACCAAAGCAAAATAAATAATCTCCTCTGCATTTCTGTATTTAATTTTAAATATAATCCGAACATGCATACATACTGTACACTCACCTAAAGGATTATTAGGAACACCATACTAATACTGTGTTTGACCCCCTTTCACCTTCAGAAAAGCCTTAATTCTACATGGCATTGATTCAACAAGGTGCTGAAAGCATTCTTTAGAAATGTTGGCCCATATTGATAGGATAGCATCTTGCAGTTGATGGAGATTTGTGGGATGCACATCCAGGGCACGAAGCTCCCGTTCCACCACATCCCAAATATGCTCTATTGGGTTGAGATCTGGTGACTGTGGGGGCCATTTTAGTACAGTGAACTTATTGTCATGTTCAAGAAACCAATTTGAAATGATTCAAGCTTTGTGACATGGTGTATTATCCTGCTGGAAGTAGCTATCAGAGGATGGGTACATGGTGGCCATAAAGGGATGGACATAGTCAGAAACAATGCTCAGGTAGGCCGTGGCATTTAAACGATGCCCAATTGGCACTAAGGGGCCTAAAGTGTGCCAAGAAAACATCCCCCACACCATTACACCACCACCACCAGCCTGCACAGTGGTAACAAGGCATGATGGATCCATGTTCTCATTCTGTTTATGCCAAATTCTGACTCTACCATCTGAATGTCTAAACAGAAATCGAGACTCATCAGACCAGGCAACATTTTTCCAGTCTTCAACTGTCCAATTTTGGTGAGCTCTTGCAAATTGTAGCCTCTTTATCCTATTTGTAGTGGAGATGAGTGGTACCCGGTGGGGTCTACTGCTATTGTAGCCCATCCGCCTCAAGGTTGTGCGTGTTGTGGCTTCACAAATGCTTTGCTGCATACCTCGGTTGTAACGAGTGGTTATTTCAGTTAAAGTTGCTCTTCTATCAGCTTGAATCAGCGCCCATTCTCCTCTGACCTCTAGCATCAACAAGGCATTTTCGCCCACAGGACTGCCGTATACTATGTGTGTAGAGTTATGATGCATGTGTTGAATGTGATTTAATGTGATTTCTTTTGCATGTTGTGTAAGTGTTTTGGAGTTTTGAGTGTAGAGTTTAGAGAAAATGAGCCATAGTTTCAGAAATGGTGTCTATGCGATTGTCAAAAACTGTAAAATATTTCAACTGTTTTTGTTCATACAATGAAAGTTAATGGGGTCCAAATTAAAACAACAATATCTTTTTCTGTGTTCCACAGAAAGAAAAAAAGTCATACAGGTTTGGAACAACATGGGAGTAGGTAAATGCTTTTTGGGTGAACTATCCCTTTTAAAACGAGAACACCATTAAGTTTCATGAGCAACATCTGAGAAACGTCTTGGTTACGGATGTAACCCTCGTTCCCTGAGTAGGGAACGGAGACGTTCCGTCGGATGACGACGAATGGGGTTTCGCTTAGAAAGCCAATCGACTTCGAGTACTACAAAACGAGCCAATGGCAAAGAAATGCCATGGGTCTGCGGAATTTGCATAGCGTAACTCCGCCTCACCTCGTGGGTATTTAAGGAGAACGCTGGCAGCAAATAGGCATGTTTTCTTCGCTGAGGAGCCAAGACTGAGCTCAGGCGATCCCCGCGGTACAGCGGAAGTGGCAGGCAGACGGAACGTCTCCGTTCCCTACTCAGGGAACGAGGGTTACATCCGTAACCGAGACGTTCCCTTTCGTTGTCACTCCGAGTTCCGTCGGATGCCGACGAATGGGGATACCAGTCTAATCACGCCACCTTCTCAGCTGTCTACCAGTGCCCTGCGTAAATCTGAGATCCCTGTCGTGAACTAGCACGGACGAAGGACTCCTATTTAGCACAGGAATACCAAGGTACACTGGGGAGCATATCCCAGATTTTAGGGAAGTATGCAATTACTGCCAACCCAGAGGGGGGGACTTAAGAATACACATATGACCCGAGGGATGCATATGGGGAATCACTGGGGTGTCCAGCCGCAGGTGGAATATTTCAACCCCGGGGGTGGCAAGGTGGCTTGCCAAGGGAAAGACACATGCTCAGAGAGGCTTACAGTGGAAATACACATGTGGGGGTAGCTCAAGGAGGTACCATGCACACGGAAGGCACCTAGCCGACGCGCAGGCAATAGACACTGGCGCCAGCGTCAGCAGTGCTGGAGGAGCTCAGGGCTTTCGGGAAAGCTCACCTGAGGAGAATATCGCACGTATCCAGTCCGTGGAGTGGAATGGCGAGCAAGCGAAGACACCTAACGGGTCCCATGTTAGCTTGAAAAAGACAGTACATGGGAGGAGACTGGCTCCACTCGGAGATTGTAAAATCTGGCGAATGTGTTAGGTGTCGCCCAGCCTGCAGCTCTGCAGATGTCTGTTAGCGAGGCGCCATGCGCAAGAGCCCAAGAGGACGCCACACTCCGGGTGGAGTGTGCGGTCACACCAAGGGGGCACGGTCGACCTTGCTGCTGGTATGCCAAAGCAATGGCGTCCACTATCCAGTGAGACGACCTTTGCTTGGAGAGAGCCTTTCCCTTCAGCTTCCCACCATGACAGACAAAGAGCTGGTCTGAGGTCCTGAAACACTGCGTTCTGTCTACATAGATGCGGAGAGCACGTACTGGACAGAGCAGTGCCAAGGCTGGGTCTGCCTCCTCCGGGGGCAGCGCTTGCAGGTTCACCACCTGGTCCCGGAAGGGAGTGGTTGGAACCTTGGGCACATATCCAGGCCGGGGTCTCAGGATCACGTGAGAGTAACCCGGCCCGAATTCCAAGCACGCTTCGTCAACGGAGAATGCGTGCAGGTCCCCCACCCTCTTGATGGAGGCCAATGCAGTCAGAAGCGCTGTCTTCATTGACAGGAAGTTAAGCTCGACCGACTGCAAAGGCTCAAAGGGAGCGCTGCGCAGGGCAGTTAAGACCACTGCGAGGTCCCAAGAGGGTACGAGAGGAGGGCGAGGAGGATTCAGTCTCCTCGCTCCTCTCAGGAACCTGATGACCAGGTCATGCTTCCCCACAGACTTACCTTCTATTGGGTCATGATGTGCGGCAATAGCGGCGACATAGACCTTGAGGGTGGAGGGAGACAGCCTTCGCTCCAACCCTTCTTGAAGAAAGGAAAGCACGACACTGATCGAACATCTCCGGGGGTCTTCTCGGTGAGAAGAGCACCAGTTGACGAAGAGGTTCCACTTCAACGCATAGACGTGTCTCGTGGACGACGCTCTAGCGGAAGTGATGGTAGCCACCACCGCTGGTGGTAGGGTACTCAAACCTGCCTCGTCCCGTCCAGGAGCCACACGTGGAGGTTCCAAAGAACGGGACGAGGGTGCCATAGGGTGCCCCGTCCCTGCGAAAGGAGGTCCTTCCTCAGGGGAATCGGCCAAGGAGGTGCTGTCGCGAGGAGAATGAGTTCGGAGAACCAGGTCCGGGTGGGCCAGTACGGCGCGACCAGAGTGACCTGCTCCTCGTCCTCCCTGACCTTGCGCAGGAATTGCGCAAGAAGGCTCACTGGGGGAAACGCATATTTGCGACCCCGCAGCCAGCTGTGCGCCAGTGCATCCGTGCCGAGCGTGCCCTCGGTCAGGGAATAATACAGGGCGCAATGGGTCGAGTCGTGAGAGGCAAACAGATCTATCTGTGCGTCCCCGAACTGGTCCCAAATCAGCTGAACCGACTGGGGATGGAGACGCCAATCTCCCGGGAGGGGCTGAAGCCGTGAAAGCTCGTCGGCTGCACAGTTCAGGGCTCCGGGGATATAAATGGCACGAAGCGACCTCAGATGCTTCTGACTCCATAAGAGGAGGTGGCGGGCGAGTTGCGACATACGGCGGGAGCGCAGACCACCTTGACGGTTGATGTACGCTACGGTCGCGGTATTGTCTGAACGGACTAGTACATGCTGGCCCCTGAGCACGGCTCGGAAGCGGCGCAAGGCGAGCTGTACAGCCAGCAACTCGAGGCAATTGACGTGCCATAGGCGGTGGGGTCCTGTCCAGGAGCCCGCGGCAGCACGTCCATTGCACATGGCACCCCAGCCCGTGGTAGAGGCATCTGTCGTTACAACAATATGCCGGGAAACTCGTTCCAGGGGCACTCTGGCCCGTAGAAAACTGAGGTTCGACCACGGGGTGAAGGTCTGACGGCAGGTCGGAGTAACTGGTACTCGGAGAGTGCCGTGTTGCCATGCCCACCTCGGGACTCGGTCGCGAAGCCAAAGCTGAAGCGGTCTCATATGAAGTAACCCGAGCGGTGTTGCCACGGCTGCGGATGCCATATGCCCCAGGAGCCTCTGAAAAAGTTTCAGTGGAACCGCACTCTTGCCCTCGAACTGTCTCAGGCAAGTCAGCAGTGACTGCGCGCGCTCGCTCGTAAGCTGCGCGGACATGGCGACCGAGTCGATCTCCATACCGAGAAAAGAGATCCTCTGCACGGGGCAAAGTTTGCTCT